AAATCATGTTCCCAACCCTATTTTGAATTTTATTTAGAGACAGGGTCTCACTTTTGCTGAGGATGACTTTGAACTCAGAATCCTCCTTCCTCAGCCTCTGAGCCACTGGGATTACAGACATGCACCACCACACCCGGCCAGTTCTCAAATTTAAATGGCTAAACGACTGCTGTATGAATTAATCAGACTCTTATTTTAACCTTGATTTTTCCATGATGATAGCAGATAGCAACCATCAGAAGACTTTAAAGTTGTCCTTGTCTCCTGGTATTGTTCAACCACTGTAAACATAATCATTCAAAAAGGACTCAATAGCTTTGAAAGAGGAGCTGTAAAAATATGAAGCATTTTTGTTAAAATAAAACTTTTGTTAAAATCCTGACTCGGCAAACAAGTGCCTATCCTATTGGATAAGGCTTATAAAGTGTATTTTTTTGATGTGTCAATTTTCTCCAGCCTATTAGAAACAAATGAAATGTCAGAGTCCTAGAAAGCACCAATTTGTTCTATGCTTCTTTTATAGACGGCTGTCTAGAATGTGACTTTCAACCATTGGCTATATGACCACCAGTTAGAGTTGTTTCTCTCTTTGGAGTGGTATGGGAAGTAAAATTAAGTTTGGTAATCAGGAAGGGTATGAATTAGAGAATGTCCCTTTTTTATCAGCAATCACAAGCCTCTGGCATCAGAAAGATATGCTTTCAGATTTTAGCTCAGACACTAGCTGCATGACTGGGGTGGATAAATTAACTGCTCTGACCCTTCATTTTATCATTTTTAAATTGAATCTATAGCACCTAACTCAAATGATTATAGTAAGCATTAATTGCTAGAAATGGATATGTAATATTTTTGAAGACACACCTTCTTTTTTAAAAATACCTGTATTTTATTTTTATTTTTATCTGGTGCTGAGGATTGAACCCAGGGCCTCACGCATGCCAGGCAAGTGCTCTACCACTGAGCCACAACCCCAGCCCATCTTTCATTAATATTGAATTTAAATAAGCAGTATTAAAATTAAAGCACTCAGCACAATGCCTGCTATAAAATAGTCATTCACATAGTATTAGTTCCCTTTTCCTAGATATCCACAAAGCTAAATTTTATACCCAAGAGGAAATCAATGAGTGGGAATCAAGTTCAAACAGACTCAAGAATCAAAGCCACCACCAGAAAGTACTACCAGTAATTTAATACATGATTGCTCAATGCCATCATCATGATCAATGACAAGACATTGTGGCTTAGAGACTGAGACACATTCACTATAATAGTTCTATTAACTCTACTAAGTGGTGTAGCTCACTTCTGGAAATTTTTTTTGAAACATGGACAGTGTCTCTTGGCTTATGATAACATTGAAGCTCTATATCACTATATTCCATGGACAGATTTTTTAAAACTCTCTTGACCAAGTGTAACCTAAAGCTTCATAACAAGATATTGAAAAAGCCATCAGTGTAGAGGGCTTTACAGATGTAATATAACCTCCTGAAGCCTTCCCAAGGACACGTGGTATTAAATTTTGCCAAGACGCTGAAAGAAATTCTGTATGTCTTAAATGTTTTATTTTGCTTCAGAGATGATTATTGTGATAGGTAAAATGTTTCTTGGTGGAGACGATATTCCAGAATTCAGTAAAGGTGCTACTTATTGTATCTATCATCATGGATAGAAATGAGGGCAGTGACAATATGAGTTCTATGTGTTGTCATCTGGACAAAATGGAGATAGTAGGAGTAAGGACAATCATATAGTTACCTCTCTCTAATGGTGCTCTCTGATGGTTCATGTCTACAGTTATATGTTATGTCTGCATCCATGACAGTATAATATGACAGTTGTACTGAACTATGTAGTGTTGTGAATGACAATGTTTTATGGTAGGTACCATGCTTCTGGGTATGAGTAGAGGAAAGTGAAGGAACTTAAATCATAGGTATTTCAAAATCTTATTATAGCTATAGATAAATGAGAGAAATAAAGAGGAAAGCTGTCTAATGTTGAGACAAGTTTCCTAAGGAGGCCAATCTTGAGTGCACTCACTATGATTCACACTGTGGTGCATAGTGAGAACCTGTTTCAGTGTGCTCAGAGTTGATTAGAATACAAAGGATTGATGCTATTAAAACCCACAAGAAACTGATGAGTAAGCCAAACACCAATTTATTCACTTACAATGAGAATTAACTGCCAAATAGGCTAGAACACTTATGTCAGTTGGTTAGGAAATGTTCTCTCCATAACAAAGTTTATACAGAAAAGCAATTACAATCTGATTACTTGAAGACCATCAACTCAGAGCAAATGTATTCAAGTGACCATCTTAATGGCTAAGGCCAAATTGGAATGGCCTGGTGGCTTAACAATACTGTCAGGGTGGACCTTCCAAATGGTGTGCTGGTCAATAATCTTTGAGGCTAGGGAGATGAGTGATTATATTTTTTCTCATTGCCTTCTTTTTCAGACTCCAAGTAGACCATTCTTTTGTTAACAATATCTTATTCAGTCTTACAAAATAATTAGATCCTATCTTGCTGGGTGGTATCAATCATGTAGCAGATCTGTCTCTCTAAAACTACATCCTTTATTGGACATAGGGGTTCTCCAAGCCTTTGAAGTTACAGACTGCATCTGTTCTCTGTGGATTCGAATTAGTTTCATTCTCAGAGCAATTCATTTAGCTATAAGTTCTGAGGACACCCCTTTGTGACTATCTTTATGCTAAGTAATGAATAATTATTGTTGAATTTGATGATATAAAGTAGATGTTGTCACTATAATAAATTTTGAAGTGGTAGAATTGTTAGTAGCTAGTAGGCAGAAAAGCATGATCACAGATTCCCATTAGTATGCTCAGCCTGGCTACTGGATAAAACTACATAGTGTACAAAATGTCCTTGACTTGGAATGCCTCAACAAGGGACCTCCAAAAGCTCTAATCCTGCAGTTACAGCTTTGGATTGATCATCTTTTCTAAGAGGTTATGAATTCTGAAGATTTCTTGGAAAAGAAGATAATGTTGTCACAAAGGGAGAGTAAAAATTGTGGCCCTAAGATAAGGAAAGACTGATGATGAAATCAACCGAATGATCGTATTGATATTTCAGGACTATATTGAGGTCAGTAAAGTAACTGACTAGAGGCCATTGGGTTAGTCCTTTATTATCAAATTAGTGGTAATATGTCAGGATACTTCCAAGGTATTTCAGAGTCACTCAAAGTTCAAATAGACCTACCTGTTGGAGGATCTCATACTATCTCATTACTGCAGTGGGAATTGCTTGGTGTTATTGAAATATGTGCATTCAGGTTTCCTTATTGAGGGAGTTAATGGAGTAATGTGCATGTATAGAAAACTATGGATAAAGGAAACCCTTTGAAAATGCAAATAATTGTTAGCACAGTGGTTGGTGACGCACCAATGGGTGGAAAGATCTCTTTGTTGTTCTACCAGATGAGATTAGTAACCCTAGTTGGGTTTGAACACTGAAAAGTTAGACTAACTCTCCAGGACAAGGCCGAAATATAACGGCACTTCATGTTCTGAGAAGATCTTGATGGTTTCTAAGAACATGTAATTAGTGATTTCATGAGACCCATTATGATGACATACATGGCACTAAGAAGCCGTGACCAAAGGCCTATAATTTACAAGCATAAACTGATCATCACTGAATACTCTTAACATTTTATGGAGTTATGCCTTTCCAGCACAGCATTACTTTAGCTCAGAAGCATCATCTATCTATATACAGAGTTGGTATGTGCCAAGAGTAGAACACAAGCAATCAAGCTTATCACTTCTTGAGTTTTGTGTACAGATCGTGTTAATGCATGTATACTGGGATTTTTCAGATGGGATGGTTCAGAAACTTGTCTTCCATTCATTGTTTTTCATGATCCTCAATTAGATAAGTAACCCCAGAAGCGAGCGGTCTGTAAGGGTAGAGACCTATAGTGCTGGACAGTGATCCTAGATAATGACCAAATTGAGGTCCTTAGAGTCAGGAATTACTGCAGAGCCTGACTCTTAGTCCTTAGGGAGATTATTTTGGCCAGGTTCTCTGTCCAAAGCAGAAATAACACTGCAGTTATAGTAACTATGTAGGAGAACTTTTTAGGTCTCATTAAATATCTTTCAGAGGTCATTATCCTAAATCATTTTTGCTTATCGGTAAGATATTCTGGAACCTCAATCTATGATCATTAGGGAAGAGGGAGAATCCTGGGATTGTTAGGGCATGGCTATTAGAATGTACCTGCCAGAAGGGTTAGCCCATAGAAGAGACCAATAATTCCAAGCAATATTCAAATGGCCATAAAATATGATTTGTCAGTAGGCAACAGGTTCAGTTTTTTGGGCAAATAGGGGACTTTGGATGGAAACTAATTACATAAGGTGACAAAGCTGTGGTTCCAGGAAGTTTGGTTTGTGTTGAAGCTATACCCCAATCTATATGTGGAGCAGGATCCGCTTTCTAGGAGGAGAATATTGGCAAGTTATGGTAATGCAACTAAGATTTTAGGCAGAGGACCTAAACCAACAGGAAACTAGGATATAGATCAATGAGGGCCAGGGTAAAAGGCTTGGACTCAGTCATAAGCACACAAGAAATGGACTAGGCCAATAAACTCAACCTATATCTCATCCATTGGTGGAGATGAGATTCCCAACACTTCCAGGTTTTTTTTTTTTGGCTCAGGATGGGCAGTGTTTTACCTGCAGACTTACAGTACTCTTGGAGGAATTGATCCAAACTATAGAAGTGCCTGTGAATTGTTTTCCTCATTGTTAGATAAGGTTTGGTAAGGAGTTACTTCCAAATGAACATGATCTGGTTGATTACATTTCCAGAAGCAAAAGGGTTCATGGCTATCTGTAAAGTGGCATTGCAGTTCTCCATCTGTAGTATAGAGTTAGTGCAGGATATAAATCAGTAAGGCTGTGGGTGAGAAGGATATAAGTTGGTCATTTTGACCCTCCTGGGCTTTTCTTACTGGTGATCTGGATTGTTTGTACTTGCTGGGGATCGAGAGCGTTTGGCAAGGCAATCTCTTGTGAAGTGATCAGCCTGGTTGCAGTAGAGGCACAAATGAGTTTCTTGTTGGCGGGCTCTTTTGGCTGGGGTAAGAGGTAACTGGCCTCCCCGAAGTTGTGAAGACTCTTCCCTAGATGGTAGGCCTGTGGTACTGGAGAGAGATTGATGGTGGGTGAGGGAAGCCAACGTTGGGAGCTGAGTCTCTGATTGTAGGAGCTCTGGCCTGTCATTATGTTTCTTATCCAACTGAATGCACTGAATGATCAGGTCAGGGAGGTTGCCCATCATATCTGCAACACTCTCTTTATCCTGGATGGGCTCAACTAGTCCCTCTTGGAACTGATCACTCAGATTTGTTTCAGTACAAGTCACATTTTGAGAAGGGGTGTCTCCTTTGTCAACCTTAGTATTCATCAAAGGGTTCATTTCTTGTTTCATGGGTTCATCAAATGACTGCTGGAAGTCATGAACAAAGCTCTCATGTTGCTTTAATATAGTACTCTGATCAGATCCGGATGTGACCCCACAACTTTCCATTTGTTGGGATAGGTAGTCAAAAACGAGCTTGTTCTGGGTACCATTAACAGAATTGGGAATCTTGAAAGCTGTTAAGTATGTAGTTACCTGAGCAAGAAACCCTGAGACACTGGCAGGATCACCATGAAACTGGGTGAGATTCTCAAGTGAGTACGGTACAGACATCATTGGGGTAGTCAGAGGAGGCATGAGTTGGCCTCTCAGAGCAGGGTTCTCCTCAGTCAGATGCTGCATTTGTGGTTGCAGAATCAGATTCTCCCCCTGAAGAAAGGAAGGCTCTACCTGCAAGGTAGGTGGTGATTCTGTGCACTTCTCCATTATATCTCCTGGAATCAGGTGACACTGAGTATAATCTCAAGTACCAGTACTGGAGATCAATGGACATGCAATGGATTTGCTCTGTGATCCAAGAGGCAGTATCAGGAGGAAGTATCCCAAGATGTTAACTATGAAAAGTCACTAGGGGAGGCTGAGTTGGAAAGATGCCAAAAATTATCTGTTACTCAATGTTGTCTCTTCTTCATGGGGAATGCCAATTTCTGCATTAAGAAGAAATATATTACCTTAGAACACATATACAATTTGGAATTAAGAAGATATATACAACAGTCATGACAGTTTTTCTCTTCCCTCCCTTTCCTTGGGATAGAGGGTCAATTTGCCCTCACATTAAGCCTTGGTTCTAATGTGTCTTATTTTTTTACCAGAGAGTCAAAGAATTTTACAATCCAAAGTGATCTTAGAGATCATCCAGGCCAAATTTATAATTTCACAGATGAGAAAACAGACTCAGAGAAGCAAACATGTTTGCTCAAGGTCACCCAGTTAGTTAATATCAGATCTGGCATGCTCATCAGGGCTGCTGTCCAAAACACTGCTTCCTCCAGGACCACAAATGTGCTCATTTGCATATGCTGCTTGATAGTTCATGTTCCTGGCTACTCAAAATGTGATCTGGGAACAAGCAGTCTCAGCATTACCAGAAAGGTTATTAGAAGTACAGAATCTCAGGTCCCATCCAAAACCTACTGAATCAGGTTTTACACTTTAACAAGAGTTCCAAAGTGATTAGAATGTACACTGAAGTCTAAGAAGAACTGCTATAGACAGCACTTAGTCTGAATTGGAATAATCACTTGTTGGACTTCACCTATTTTTTTCTGGTTATTTTGATCCTGTCTGAGATCACATTTTGTTGCTATGGAAATGATTAAGACATATAGGCAAAAATGAATAGGTAAGATTGAGAAACTAGCAAACAAGAACTAAATATTCATAAAAGTATAAAAATCAAAATGTTCAGCATTCCTTGATAACAAGAATAAAATATCCAATAAAAGTTAAAAAACAATCCCCAAATATGTGATATATCAGTTGTGCATTTCAGTTCCCCTCTTTGCTCTTTTTTTTTTTTTTTTTGCTGGTATTTTATTTTATTGGTTGTTCAAAACATTACAAAGCTCATGACATATCATCTTTCATACATTTGATTCACGTGGGTTATGAACTCCCATTTTTACCCCAAATACAAATTGCAGAATCATATCGGTTACACATCCACGTTTTTACATAATGCCATATTAGTGACTGTTGTATTCTGCTACCTTTCCTATCCCCTACTATCCCCCCTCCCCTCCCCTCCCCTCCCCTCTTCTATCTCTACCCCCTCTACTGTCATTCATTTCTCCCCTCTTCTCTCTCTACCCCATCTGCTGGTATTCGATTCTCTCCCTTGTTTTTTTCCCCCTTTCCCCTCACAACCTCTTATATGTAATTTTGTGTAACAATGAGGGTCTCCTTCCATTTCCATGCAATTTCCCTTCTCTCTCCCGTTCCTTCCCACCTCATGTCTCTGTTTAATGTTAATCTTTTCCTCCTGCTCTTCCTCCCTGCTCTGTTCTTAGATGCTCTCATTACATCAAAGAAGACATTTGGCATTTGTTTTTTAGGGATTGGCTAGCTTCACTTAGCATAATCTGCTCTAGTGCCATCCATTTCCCTGCAAATTCCATGATTTTGTCATTTTTTAGTGCTGCGTAATACTTTTTGTAGCATACTATTTAAACGTGTTTAAATTACCTAGTGGGTTAAAAAAATGTGTATCATTGAATTTTTCAAAATTTGAGACCTGTTTCTCTAGGTTTTATTTGATGCCTTCTCCTCTCTAGATCAATGGAAAAAAATAATTGAAGACTGAAATAGCATAAGATTGGAGGCTCTGGCCTCCAGAAACTCTGGCCCAAAAACTAGTGTTAATCAATTGATGTCTTTGAAGAACTCATTTGGTTCTCAGTTTCCTTTTTATCTAATTAAGATAACTATCTTTTCTGTACCAGAGTTGCTATATCAATGTGATAATAGATAGGTTCTCTGGGTTACAAAAAATGAGAGGTTTGCTTCTAAAATTATTCTAATTCAGGTTGTGAGGATTTGCCCTTATCACATATTGCCAAAATAGGGACACATACTGTCCTACCCTTCTTTTTTTTTCTTTGCGTATCTCACCATTTTAGTTTCCTGATCTACTTTTCAGACATCTTCGACTTCCCACATTCCCATCCATGAGTTCATTCCTGCCATTCCAGCTAGGTATTAACCAAAGATCAGATAGTAAGATATTAGTTAATAAGGGATAATGATTGACTTTTCTCAGGGCATTCACTTTTTATTCAATCTCTAATGTATGTAAAATCAACTCAGTCCCCAAATCTATCAAGTCTGATTTATTAGGTCTGAGTAGATCCCAGGAATCTGTCCTTTAACAAGCTAGTTATGTGATTTCTGAGGGAGAGGGTCCCTGTGAAAAACACTGTGTTTCAAGGATTAAAGACATATTAGTAGTGACTCAGAGAATAGGGATGAGACAGGGGCATATTTGGAGATAAGATATTGGTCCTCAAGCAACATATAATGTGTGGTATCCTATTCTCCTTCTGTATGAAGCCCACAAAGAGCCACAATGTCCTTCACAACTGCTTAATTCTCCCAGCCAATAGAATGCAAGAGTTAAGCATCCAGATTTTAAAGTTGAATGGGTATGGGTCCAAATCCTGGCCTGACTAAAAGCTGTGTAACTCGGTGTAAGCTATTTAACCTCTCTGAGAACTAGTTTCTAAACTTTAAAATGAAAGTGCTCATAATATCTACCTCCTAGTGTTTGTGATGATTAAACAAAATGAAAAGAAATTAGCACAGCGTCATGCAGATGGCAAGTACTCCATAAATGTTAAGTTATCATTATTCTAGGTCCATCATCTGTTATCTGTGTTTCAGAATTCAATTTTTTTCAGATTTTAGGTAACACACAGTATTACTGTTTATTATATAACACTTCCTGCAGTGTCTGGGGAAACATCCCATAATCAAGCTATTAACATTCCTGCAGGAAAAAAAACAAACGTCTGAATATTCATACTAAAAGGGATAAAGACTAAATTCATGTCAATTCAGGTCAAGTTTTGCTTCCAAATGAGATTTGGCACCAAATTAATGAAAAAATAACCTCCAGTTTACAGAGCTTTTGGATATCAGAATTGGGATAAGAGATTGTGAACTTCTAATAAATTATCCTTTTGATTGGAAGGGTGTGACTGTAACTTTTCCTTCCCATCCATGCTTTCTGCCCTTTCCTTGTACCTTCCAAAGTTCCAGAATTTTGTGGAGGTCTCTTGTTTCTTTACAGAATTATGTATTCAAGGTGACATGGCATTTAATTTTCCTAATTATGTAGCACTGGTGAAACACTTGCTAAAATTATAAGCATTAGCTGAAATGCAAATCATACAATAGCACTATTGTCAACTGCAATTGTTTAATTCCTCAAAATTTTATCCTGCCTTATCATTTTGGAAATTTATCTCCTTTTAGAGGTCAGTGACCTTTCACTACTGGATTGTCTCCAGAGGATGTTAGAACAAAGTCTGTCACGTCTAGAGGATCTAGTCTTGAAGAGAAAAAGGAGAGAAATAGTTGGAACCTCAAATGCACAGGTGTAAGGACTGGATTGGTGAGCTTGGATCAGATCCAACACAAAACTACATATATTTAAGCTTTTACTTAATAAGTATGTATGTGTCTCAACTACAAAACAGCAGCAACAACAAATGAGTTTAGTCAACTATTGCATACCATTTTGGTGTTATGCATTCAGTTTGGCTCAAAGCCATGGTTAATAGCTTCCCTGGACACAAAACTACTTCATTTTGGAGTTCCTGGAAACCATGTTTGCAGAATGGCTTTCTATAATTTGGCTCTAGAATGTACCTGAAAGGGTCATGTGCTTTTAGAGGCTTGGTCCAATAGAATATGGTGTTATTGCAAGGTGGTGGAAAACTTTAAGAGGTGGGGCCTAGTAAGAAGTCTTAGGTCATTGGGGATGAGCCCTCGAGGGGGATACTGGGACTTTTTTCTTTTTGTGTCCTGGCTTCCATGAGGTAAGCAAGTTGCTCCAGATGGTGCTTTCTATCATGATATACTGCTTTGTCAGAGGCCTAAAAGCACTGGGGCCAATGATGAACTGAAACTTCCAAAATTATGAGCCAGAATAAACCTTTCATCTTTTAAGTTTATTATCTCAACAAAATGTATTTTTGTCATAGTATCCGAAAGCTAAAACAGACTTGCAATACCCTATTACTTATAAGAAAGCTTTATGACCTTACATTGTTTTAATTTCAAGTTATTTCTCATAACCTATTGAAGGAGGAGCTTTGATCTGGGATCATATAACCATCTAGAGCAGCTATACTTCTCACACTTGAGCTTCAGATATTCTAAGGAATGCTATGGCCACATCACGTAAATTGAGACACAAATAACTTTCCAAGAATCAAATAAGAAGAAGGCATCATAAAGATTATCTAATTCTTTCAAACCCATAGATTCTATAACTTGCCTGAGTACATAATTAAAAAATCAGTAAGGAACTGGCTATTAGTCATGTAAAATCTGTAATCTGACACTTAGATCCATAGTAAAACTGAAACTTACTCACTGTGTACCTCCCTCACTGTCCCTATGCCTGAAGGAGACTCACTGGCTAAGATACAGCAGGCTTTGTTTACCAATTTGAAGTCTTAGTCTGGTTTCCCTGTCCATTCCCAATGCTCCCATCATTTCAAACAGAACATGCTGTTTCAAGTAAACAATTAAGGGAAGAGTGGAAAAATTCTGATCTGCAGATCCCAAATAGTCATAAAATGAGCCCTTAAAATTTGAAATGAAAGGTCTTCTCCTGCATTCATGCTTCCTGCTGTCTCTTTCATCTTTAATTCATTAAGTGCAATTCACTTAGTGCTGAACACCACTTGCAGCTGATA